TCTGAGAGAGGACGCGTGGCAGTGGACGCGTCGCTAGCTCTTGGGATTCTCTCCTTTCCTTGTCTCACGGGACAATTGTAGATTTGTAGTGGTGGTGGCGTGGTGGGCATGCTGGATTAGACGCGTGGCAATTGCTACAATCAGCACTCAACAGTAGCATGTCATCTTCTTGGCCCGTCTTCCTTTTCCTTGTTGGGCCATGGTCTCAATTTGCTTGTATGCCTTTTATGGGCTTTGATGGGCCTTCTTTACCGGCTTATTCGGCATTTGGCCCTCGACCTTTTTCTTTGTTTGTTTTGCAGGTTTATTGGTTTCTACCGCCCCAGGAACTCCCTCTTGAGTCTTGCCTCTGCTTGGTGTTATGGGCCACTTCAATCCACTAGATATGTCTCCGTCAAATCCTAGGTGGCATTAGGGAGGCGTAGCTTCTTTTTCGATAGTGGAATCAATGTAGTCAAAATCCCGCTTTAAAACTTAAAAACTTGCGATTTTACGTTTCTAAGTCACTAAAATGCTTCTACACAAAATCTCAGTTTTTATGACTTATGTAGTTAAAAACTATGCTTTAAAACTTAAAAACTTATGATTTTACGCTTCTAGATCACCATAACGTTTCTATGTAGAAACTCGCTTTTGACTACATTGAGTGGAATTTCTACTATTTTGTAGTCGATGTGATTGTTCATTTTGCATGTACAGCTGCTTATAGGGCTGCCCTTTTGTGGCACTAACGGCCCTTTCATAGGTAGTTCGACAACAGTCGATGTATCTGGTTTACTTTTGTACTATGTATGACTCTCGATTACTACCTTTATGGATGTCTATGTTAAAAAAACATAATAATAAATAGGGTTAATACCCTAGTTTGGTCCGAAGTATAGCGTAAGTGACAGTTCTGGCCCCATTTTTGAAATAAGACATTTATGGCCCACTTTAGAAATTATTGGACAAATTTGGCCCAAAATTTTCTTTGACCGTTAATATTGACGGTCAAACACTATTCTATTAGTAACTCAGCAAAAATAGCTGATGTGGCATGCCACATCATTAAATGATATTATTTTAATTTTATAATTCAATTAAAATAAAAATTAACAAATTAACAAAATCAATTATTATCCCAAATCTTCGGCCCCAAATTCCCAAATTCAAACCCTAAACTAAATCAAAATCATCGTCCATAGGAGGGAGGCCCCTCCTCCTTCTCCGACGACTACCACTCTGTCGCCTCTCCCATTCCTTCCCAAAAACCAAAACTAACGAGCAGCCTGATTGTAGGTGAGCTTGCTCTGGTTGCTGTTTAGCACAGTCGCAGCGGCCTTGCTTGGATCTAGATCTCGCAACGGCCTTGCTTGGATCGGATCTCGCTGGTGATCTGGATCGCTCCAGTGTTCAACCTGTCCTTCGAGCTCACCTCCTTGGAGGCAGGGGAGTTGCTATCGTGAGCGTCGGAGGCGAAGGAGCAGCGGTCGATGCTGGCGGAGGTAGAGGAGAAGAGGTTGAAGTTGGAGGAGTCTTGTGTGAGAATGACAGAGTCGAGGCTGGCGTCCCGGACGCTGACCACGGCGGAGGAGGAATGATGGCGGCGGGTTGTGGGTTTAATTTAAGGTGCTGATTTTTGCCAGTGCTGGGGAGAATGACGACGGCGCTGAGGTTTATTTAGAGTGGCGATTTGGGTAAGGGAGAAAGACTGGGCTGGTGGGTTTTGATTATTTAGGGTTAAGGAGTAAAGTTGTCAGGGGAGAAATTTGAAATCCTTTTATTTTCTTAGCTTTATTTTTATATTAGTTGAATTAAAAAAATATTTAATTACGTGGCATGCCACATCAGCTGTTTTTGCTTAGTCACTAACGGATTAGTGTTTGACCGTCAATATTAAGGGTCAAAGAAAATTTTGGGCCAAATTTGTCCAATAGTTTCAAAAGTAGGCCATAAATGTCTTATTTGAAAAATGGGGCCAGAACTGACACTTACGCTATACTTCGGGCCAAACTAGGGTATTAACCATAATAAATAAGCAATCATATCTCCTCACAATTGATTTGCAAAAGAAAACAACATTCAATCCCCCACAATTGATCCATCGCGACTTACCCAGCCCGCAGTTCTTCATCGTCGCATCTTCGACCAAGCGCCATTGGAAAGCTCTGGTTCTGTATCGTCATTGGTAGTCGCTTCTTTGGCTTCTTCCACCAGAGGCCGCTTATTTAACTTCTTCTTTATCTTATGCGGAAGGGACAATCGTCGATACCCTAGAGTGGATGACGAGCGCTTATCTCAGCCTTTCATCGGCATCCTCCCAGCCTAACGCTGGTTCATCTTTGGAGGTTAAAGGATTTGAAAAGGCGCAAATCCGACCCTTGGTCATCGATTCAATGCCATCGATTAACAAGTAGCAGCATCGGACCCGTGGGACATCAAATTGACGACCTGGTCCGGGCTGGGTACTGGATGACCACAATCGGACTCAGCAAGTCACTGTTCCAAACGCAGCCAAGTTTGCGATGCATGCTTCGAGCTCCCGTGGCGGACGAAGAAGCAATTGGAATTGCATCGTCGCTCCTGGCGGGCGCAAGTAGTACTAAGATTGTTGGACTTTTTTCGGAAATACCACTGTTTAAAAAAAGAATTCCAAAAATACCATCCAACCCCAAAAAATTTCAAAAATACCACCCTTTTTCAAAAACCGCTGGGTGGGGGTGCGGTTTTCTATGCTTACCGCTGGGTTAAGGGGAGGTTATAAAAACCTATAAAAACTGCTGGGTGGGGGGCGGTTTTGGCCCAAACCGCCACCCTACCCAGCGGTTTGGTCCAATTTTTTTTCGATCAACTCCTAACTTCGGCCGAAACTTCAAACGAACGTAACTTTGCACTCGGGTATTCGATCGTAGCGATTTCTTTTTGAATCCGAATAACTTTTCGAGATCTACAACTTTTACTAGGATAAATTTTCAAAACAGGAATTAGTTGTGGATAAACGGGACCTTGGGAATAACTTAACCTTTACTTTTCACAAATCCATGTACATTTCGAAATTATGATTATCTTAAAAGTTGTAGATCTTGAAAAGTTATGCGAATAAAAAAAATTCATGACGTTCGGATTTTGGAGCACAAAGTTGAGGCTGCCCAAAGTTTGACGAAATAAAAAAAAGGCTCGTTTGGGGTAGCAAATGACGTTTTTTCGAGACGAAGGCGGGACCAAACTACCTGCGCCATTTGCGGATTGCAAGATCTCGAAAAGTTATTCGGATTTAAAAAAAATTCGCTACGATCGGATACCCGAGTGCAAAGTTACGTTCGTTTGAAGTTTCGGCCGAAGGTAGGAGTTGATCGGAAAAAAAAAAATTGGACCAAACCGCTGGGTGGGGTGGCGGTTTGTACCAAAACCGCCGCCCCACCCAGCGGTTTTTATAACCGCCCCTTAGCCCAGCGGTTTGCATAGAAAACCGTGCCCCCGCCCAGCGGTTTTGGTGTAAACCGCAGGGTGGGGTGGCGGTTTTTGAAAAAGGTGGTATTTTTGGAATTTTTTGGGGTTGGGTGGTACTTTTGGAATTTTTTTTAAACAATGGTACTTTTGGATTTTTTCCAAAATTGTTGATGTTGGTAATTCAATTGCTGGTGGTGGAATTGATGATGCGACGGCCACTATGGATTGGATAATCTCATGGCCTGGCAGAGGAAGGAGGGAAGTTTGGAGAGGGATTGAGGGGCTAGGGTTTGGTGTTTAGGGGATAATAAGAAATTAATATTAAATTTTAATAGTTAGAAAAAATGAGATGGAAATTTTAATAGATTAAAATTTTATTTTTACTTTTATTTTTTTAATTGCCATGTCATATATTTAACTGTCAATTTTGAAAGTTGACTGCCACATCAGACAAAGTTAACGGAATTGAACGGAGAGTGACCAAACTTGAAGTGTTTAATTAATCTTAGTGACTACGAATGAAATTAAATATTTGTAGTGACTAAACATGAACGTTTTTAGTAATCTCAATGACCAATTTTGCAATTAACCCTGAAATTAATAATGCTTTTAATATTAATACAATTCAATTACATTGTATGTTTTAGAAACGAGTGATTAAACTCACAAGTTACAACTAACAATCAACACTACTAATCACAACTATACAAGTGTCAAATACACAAAGGTGTGTCTTCTACATGTAAGTTCGAACGATGTCGTGTCACACTTCTTCAACCAGCAGTCTAGAAAATTCAAAATTGGACAATTTGTGGCGACTCTTACGCTTTTATCAATATTGTGTTGTTGAATGAAATGATAATCCACTTCCATATGTTTAGTCCTCTTGTGCAAAACTAAATTTTATGTAATGTGGATTATTGACTGATTGTCACAATATAAGGTTGATGACTCGGTATGATTGATTACCATTTTCAAGCAGTAATTGCTTTGGCCACACCATTTCACGGGACAACATATCGTTTCATTAAGTCTTGTTTGTTTAGTGAGATTGATTTTATTTTTAGGTTGTAATCGATTCTTTGAACTGAATTTGGTGAATGTATTTATTTCTTAGTAACATGAGCGGGAAAAAAAAGAGGAAATCCAATATTTAACACTTGAATTGGAAAGTTCAGTATTCTTAAATATATGGTAAGTTTCTATATACAAATCCTTTATCTCGACTCACATTTCATTATTTTGGGCATCTCTTAATATTTGACAATTATCCTTCAATCCCTCTTGCTTTTGACTATATTTAAATATGCAACTATTAACTATTTTGAAAATTAATATATAGGTTCACTTCAAAACTTCATGCAACTAGTACCAGTGGTCTAGTGGTAGAATAGTATCCTGCCACAGTACAGACCCGGGTTCGATTCCCGGCTGGTGCATTAGAAGGCGGTGATGCCAGACAGCGTTATTGTGACATTCCATCGCAATCGTCTGCTTTTTAGATGATATTTGCCGCAGCTGAGCTTTCCATTGTTTGCTGTGGTTTTCATCAATCAGAAGCATCTATATCACATTCTTTTCGGCTTTTGTTTTCATCAGAAGCATCGCTATCACATTCTAATTTCACCAATTCGAGGGAAAGATGAGGGTAATAACACCAAGGCATTGCTGTATCCAATTTCACCAACTCGAGGCAAAGATTAGGGTGATAACACCAAAGTATTATTACAATGCTTAATCTGTAAGAAGCATGAAATAGATACACTAATAATTTTTAATTTGCTAACCAATGCTTCCTCCATTAATTTCTCTATTCCAGCAAACTCAACAGGCTCCAGCCCGCCATCCGAAATACACAGCAAAAACGCCATCTCTCTTAGGTTACGACCCAAAAGTTAATGCTCTTTATGGGTCCTGGACCCAAATTTTTATGCTTCTGTCTCCATCAAGGCCTGCTGAAGCTATTCTATTGGCAATGGGGTGACAGCTAACAGAAATGACCGTGTCAGAATGGCCTTCCAGTTTCTGAATCATGGTCTTCTCCTGGACATCCCACAAGTATACGCACTTATCCTCTGAACCGCTAACAATATACTTTCCATTTGTTACTGAAAATGTGGAGCTAACGCAATAAACCTTGTTCGTGTGACCTGTGTAACTCTTCAAGAACTTCCCCAATTTATAATTCCATAGCTTCTGCACGCACAAAGTCAGACAAGAAGAAATCAGTCGCACACTCGAGCACTAACGCCCCAAAACCACCATCAAGCGGCCGAAGAAGCCAGATGACAATCAATATGAAGTAACAATTGCAATATGAAGAAATCGGCAAATTAGAGTATAGAAGATGTGGATTTCATTCTTCTCACTCGGTATGGGTTTCTCATTTTGCAACTTTAAGCCATCGCTAGACTCTGTCTGTTACAGTATTGAGTCATTTCCTAGCGATGGAACTAATGAGGTGGAGAAATAGGAAAAGAGTAACACGTTGGAGTTGTAAGGCCATTTGGTAGCTTTCATGGAACCAAAAGAAAGTAACAGAGCTCATGGTTGTGAAGCATGCTACAGCTTAGATGTGGACCCACAGCACCCAATATGACCATGTCAATGAGGTCGATTAGGATCAAACAAGTGGGTAAGCTATAGTACCATACACAGTAAGCATTGGTTGAGGACCATGGTGCCCCTTCTCAGTTATCGATTACATGGCTGTCAAATAGCCCTAACTCATCATTATCTTCCTCCACCACTCTACTTGACGCCATTGTCACCTAACTAAGGACTTCCACGTCCCCAGCCAATGGACTCAAGTAGTCAACAATGAGCACAAGAGATACACCAAACAATAATACCACAGCCTATCACCCAAAGTTGCAAAGCTTCAGGAGTTTTGAGCTTCACAAGCTTACATACAAAATAAATGATCCCCTTTTAGTTAGTCTTGCAAAAAACAACAAACCAACATGATCGAATTTTGTGTTTTTTATTTATGCTCATACTATCTAAATTTCAATCCCATATTTTCACTAGCTGAGGGATAAACATGGTTCCATTTCAAACAAATGAGAAATATTTTATAGCAGTCATGTAAAAATGCTCCATATGATCCTAGAAGAAATCATGGATAAGTACGCATTTGCGTTTGCTTTGTCAGGGGCCTTTCCTTTCAAAATCCTGATCATCATGGTACCAGAAATTTTCAAACTTGAAAGCACTGAAATCCTGTTTCATCTAGTTAGCCAATCCATGGGCAGATTATGAGTTATGGAATCCATTAAAGGCACGGTACCAGAAAGTTTGAAACTTGAAACCATTGAAGTCCTGAATTCATCTAGCTAGCCAACCCATGGGCACATTATCAGTTATGGAATCCACATGCTTCGCAACCCACCACGAGAGATACACAGTCAGTTATGGAATATCAGTTATGGGCACATTATCAGTTGTGGAATCCACATTATCAGTTATGGAATCCACAGTCCTGAATTTCAAAGCTACTGAAGCCAAAAAACAGACGGTCCGCAAACTAGCTTGTTCTGTAGCATCACAATCATCTCAAAGAAACACCCAAATGCAACTAAACCACGTAGAGGGGTATAGAAGCTAAAATTGTGGAACTTACGAGAGTGCTGTCAAGAGTGGCAGCCAAAATGAACTTCCCATTGGGAGAGAACTTGGCAAAAGACACGGCGGCTCGGTCGGAGAAAAGCGTCATTATGCAAGTACCAGTGGCGGCCTCCCAAATCTTGCAAGTCCCGTCATGGCTCCCAGAAACGATCAAGGAGCCATCCCGATTGAAGTGAACAGAAGTGACGGGCTGGGTATGAGCTTTGATGACTTGGGCGCATTTCCCAGTCGTCACCTCCCAGATACGAATGGTCTCGTCGAAGGAGCCGGAGACGATGAGATTGGACTGGGGATTGAAATTGACGCAAAAGACGTAGTCGGAGTGCCCTCTGAGGATTTTCAGGCAGTCGAAGGGAGCGCGCGCGTCCCAGATGCGGATGGTCCGATCGTCGGAGGCGGAGCAGATGTAGTGGGAATCGGAGGACCAGGCGATGTCGGAGACGCCCTCGGAGTGGCCGACGAGGCGCGTAAGGAGGGAGAAGTTGGAGGCGGACCAGAGGATTAGGGTTTTGTCGAGGGAGGCGGAGGCGAGGAGATTGCCGTCGTTGGAGAATTTGACGCAGGAGACGGCGCGTTCGTGGTCTCTCAGGGTCTTGAGGAGTCGGTATGGTTTGTACGGTGGCGCCGACTGCTGACCGCCGCTAGTCATTGCCGGAGAAAGTAGACAAGAAGAGTCCTGAAATGGATTGAGGGGAGCTCATAGAGTTATAGTGCTGAAGAATTTCCGAGCTCAAAACTTATAATAAGGATTACCATTTTTAGAAAGGAAGCCGAACTGGGCCGAGGGCCCAAAAACTGCACTTGCTGACACCGGAGAGCTCTGTGGGCCTTGACGTGCCCTTGAAAGAGAGGTATACCTATTCGAATTTCTAACTAACTTACGAGGGTTTTTTTACTATCTTTTCTGGCAAGATAAGATTCAACAGTTCATTGTCTTGCTTTGATTTTTATGGAAAGAACAAACCAATCATCAGCATAGTAAGTTCAAACTTAAGAAAAAACGAAAATGCTCCTATAGCGATTTGTTGGATCCAGGATTACTAGATCAAGCAGGTAAATTGTCAAAAACAAATTGATAGCTGGAAAAGCTAGAGGCAAATACAATTCCAATTCCAATCCATGGATGAAATTACAACTTCCCAAGAAACTAATAAAAGGGGGCTTTGTGAATTCCCTAGAGAAGCCACCAATGCGCAGGAAATAACTTTGTCCCCAAGAGGCAGTAATGTCAGATATCAAACTACGACAGTACCATAAAAGCAAACAATGTCAAAGATTATGATACAATGGACATTTCCAAACCTCAACTGTCAGCAGGAGCAGGCATTAGCCTTAATCGGCCCTCTGAGGACTGACTCCCACTCCCACTCAAACCGGCCTCCTCGGCCAACAACGAGTGCAAATCGCTGCCGTTTGCCAAGCTGTTGAACTCCACGGCCTTGGATGGTGCAGTAGGATAGCGGCGTTGGCAGAATGTCATCAACCTCTTCACCGACTGCAGATACTTACGGGTCGTCTCGTCGTTCATGATATGGGCCACACTGTTGGTGTAAATCTTCTCGCGAGCTGAACGCTCGTGGATACCAACCATAGTAACACCTATTGGCCAGGGCGCATTCCCTATTGCCAGCTTGATGTAGTGATCCATGGCAGCAAGGTAGTCCCGCTCCCTGCAGTAGTTTACCATTATCATCAATGCTTGCCGAATATCATCTTGAAGAACCTGCAAAGAAACAATACGTGATAACAATGAGGTGCGAAAAGAGAACACTTTGATCTCCAGATAAAATCAATCTAGCACAAGAGAGGAACAAGGGCACTTGGATCTCTGGGTTATGCACAAGGGAAAGAGAGTGTGGTAACCAATATGAAAAAGGGAACAAGCAATATCAAGCCTCAATAGGAATCAATGGTGTCGTTTGGATGTGTGAATCTGATGATGGAATTGGCCTTAAATCGTTTGTCTAGATGACAGCGATATAGACACCAAATGGAAGAAATTTGTAAACCTCTAAAGTCCCAAATCTTTTCATGGGCGGACTTTTTTTCTTTCATTTGACCCGTTTCTTTGTAAGCTTAATGAGTGCATTTTCCCCATATAAATGTCAAGTGGATCAACCATCCAAACAGCAATTCATAATCTATCCGACTATCACAGGTCATAATCCACTCACTGAAATTCCATCTGGGTCAACATCATTCACACATCCAAACGACTCCCCAAGAGTTCATACAAGCACAAATGGAGCTCAAGATCCACAACATCCAAGTTACATTAATTAGTTGAAGACGGAACAACAACTAACCAATATGGATATTTATAAGCATCATGGTAACAGATTAAGTTACTGCCACGTCAAGCAATTAATCCACAGCTCAAAGCATGATAGTTTGGTTTAGTCTATGAATATACCCTGCAATACAGCATGGCATAGCAAGCTAAGAAAACCAGAACCATAGTGCAAGAACAAGGAACATCCATTCATGATTCAACTCATCATCTTCACCAGCAGACTCAGAATCAGAACACATTAGAGACCATGACCTAACCATTCAATGAACCACATTAACAAGTATGTTCATATAAATTAGTGTGGACTCATGCTCCAATAGAGGCAAGTAATAGTTCTGGCAACAAGCTACGCATCCATACCAACGCTTAATGGAACGAGTTCCGAAAGAATAACTCACCTTCTTCCTGCAGAACTTGAACAACGGACCCAAGTACCTAGCGCATTGCTTAAACGTGGCCACCATTGACTTCCCCTTTGCAGTCCGCTTCTCTGAATCCGGCATCTCATCCAACTCCTGGTGCCACTCGTTCAACAGCCTCTTGAAGAACACCAAAATCTTGTCCTCATCGCACAATTCCTCGAAATTGGCTTTCATTCGCTTCAAATCCTTTTCAGTGTCGAGCCCACTCGATCCGCCATCAGCACTCAACTCACCTTCTCCTTTGCCTCCATCTCCGTCCTCGCCAGCCCCTTCCTCCCTGTCCTTTCGCTTCCTCTCGCTCGGCATCCCGCTCTTCTGCCGCTTCTTCAGCTCGGCGATGTCGCGCAAGAAGTCATTAGTCTGCCCTTCTGTCATGTCGTTGTCAACCTCGAATAGCCCTGCTTTCAGAACGTACTTCAACCGATCCAGTCGGGCGTCGTCGTCTTCACCGAAGAGCGTTATCGGCTGCTTCAAGAATCGGAGGCGGCGGACGACTTCATGCCGAGGAAGGTCGAGATTTTCGATGTTTTGCTCGTTGGTTAGGGATTTGGAGCCCGTGGAGGCCGATGTGGAGGCGGAGGCGGCGCTCGCGGCCGCGGCGGAGGAGGAGTTGGTAGATTTAGGGGCGTCTCCGTCCTGCGAATCGGAGTTGGCGGATTTGCGCAGAGCTTTAGCTTCGAGCTCGCGCTTTTCCTGTTCCCGAAGCTTTTGGATTTCCTTCTTCTCGATTTCGGAGCGCTTGAAGAACCGCTTCCCGCCGGTTTGTTGAGCTAGGGTTTGTCGTTTCCTCGCGAGCTCTTTCTCGAGGATGTCCATCTCTAGGGTTTACTCAGGTCTTCGAAATTGCGGATGAGAGAAGGAGCGCAGAGGAGACAGCCGGGGAAGAAGATGAGATGATAGAATTGCTGAGAAAGTGGGAAATCAAGGCCGAGGCTGAATCCGGTGAAGTTGAATCGAAACCCGAACCCGAATTTCCCTTCTTTTTTTTTTTACCCGCTTTACGTTGATGATAATTGATAGGCGGAGTAGAGATAATGGGAAGGTTTTGGATGAGTTTGTTAAATATTCTTATTCTCGTTTTTAAATATGTAAATTTATACTCGCTCTATAGTTTATACCAAGGTTGTCAAACCGGTTTATGCTGGTGTGCCGGTTTTGTAAGTGGAATGGTTTGACCGTGGTACAACCTGTATTCATGTCGGTTGTGCCGGTTTTAATAAAATACATGAGGAAAATGGAAATTCTCAATTCCAAATAAATTAGTCATAAAAAAGCAATTAGAAGAATTATTTCACACAAAATAATTTATAGCTAAGAATTGTTAACTAATACTAAACAATTAGATGCTTAAAAATAAAATTTTATTAAATGAATTTTATTAATGTTTATAATGATTTGTGTAAAATTTAGTATTAGATATATAACATATAAGGTTAATATAGACAACAAAATTGCTTCTAGCTTACTGGTGTATAAGTTAAACTAAAATGAACATGAAGTACTTGGTTCAAATCCTATGTAGGATGTTTATTTTTGGAGATAATGTGTATAACATTAATTTCCGGATTTGACCGGATCTGACCGGCATTGACCACGTTTAAATACCGGCCCTTTCTAGCCGGTTTGCTGACCGGTACCGAGTGAACCCGATTGAACCGGCCGGCATGAAACCGGTTTGACAACCATGGTTTATACTCATGTCATGGAAAGATTTTGCTAACTCATCCTCCTAGCCCTTTCGCACATCCAACGTCATTATACCTAGGAATTTAAATGTAAATTTTCAATTACAAAGCTAAACAGACCTACTATATCATTAAGCTAACAAATAGGTAATACTTTAAGTAACATACTTTTTTTTCTACAAAAGATATCATATCCCGATCCAAACAAATAGGTAATTACATTCTGGAAACCAGTCAGACCCGGAAATCAAAGAAACGACTCATAGTCGGGTACAAGGAGAGGGCTTTTCTAGCCAACGAATGAAACCCTATTGTTACTCTGCCCTATAAATCGTACACTAAACCCAGCATGGGAGGTAAAATAATGAACTATCTCTTCAAGGACAACACCCAACCAGGTTATTTCTTGTGTCAGTTTGATTAATTTTCTCAATGCACTTAAGTAACATACTTTATCTTTTTAACAAGAGGAAAAGGTAAAATAATGAAGGGAGAATTGATGTAAATGACTTAGATTTGGATTTGTATTTGTATTACCATTCAATTGCATTTCTACTATATATTGTCTTAAGTTATCTTCACTTTCATTGATAGGTTTCAAACCCATATATTTTTTAGAAGAACCGAGTCGATTGGGGCATTTTTAGATCGGTCGGTCAAAAAGAAAGGGTCAGTGACTCGCTATGATACAACGCCAAACTATAACCAAGTGTAATCGCATAATGGAAATGTAGAATAGTGGGTAAGTTTTACTTATCAACACAGGGTCTAGATCTACTGCCTACTCCGTGATTATCTATTATCTAGCGGGGAAAGTTGAGTGAAGTGTTCAAAGCAAATTAAATAGAAAGCATTAAAGGTTTTGATTTTCAAGTTCGAGAAGGAACCACTCAGGTAATGATTCCCCCTAGTCTGCAGTTAAGTTGAGTTGTAATTCACCCAGTCCAATTCAATTCATATTTATACTGCGGAAGTTTCGGACCAAGCTTGGAATCTTTTAAGCTGACGAAGCCTTCTCAAACACGTTACCCGACAAGCTACTAACCCTCACGGAGATAAAGTGATGAGGCAATAAGAATAGATCTCCTCTACTGGAATGAATTCCGGTATAGAGCAATGAACCGATTGACTCTCGCACAATCGATTCACTACTTCCAAATCAAGATGCTCTATTGACCTATTCAGATTCTATCGTTCTAGGCTAAAGCTGGAAACATACAAGTGTGATCAAGACTCATAGATTTCTGAATAAACCACTACAATTGGATATATATAATCATCCATGTACTGAAAAGGGTTCATACAACTGCTCCCAACATGCAAAACTAGGGTTCTTCATACTAAGTGGTAGAGGGGGATCACTCCATAGAGAGAGAGAGGAAAGCCATGTTGGATGTAGAAACCCCTTGTAGACGGAAGAAATCTACTTCGAGTCGTCAATCGTCACTCCTCGAGGC